GACACCGACTGTTTCAAATATCACTCGACCCTGCTACATAGGAATGAGAGACGGCTTCAAGTATCAACTTTAACAAAGCATTTTCTGAAAATATACAAATGAACAGCGTACAGGATAATAAAAAGCAAAAGCAGTGATCATGATAGTTCGAATTCAAATAGCTAGAGCGTTACTATATAACTTTTAGGACAATGCTTCTTTTACTTTCAGCAAATGAATGATGCAGCCTCGTGGCCCATAGTACAAGCACTGCAAGACCGGTGTCGTTCTCAGTCAAAGTTTCTTCGACTTTCTCGTCAAACATTCTGGCAATAATCTAAATTTGATTAGAGAAACCTTTCAATTCATTAATTAATTAATTTACTAAGGACGGAAGTCATTTTCTTTCAACTGAGAGGCAAAGAGTCGACGTGATGTCAAACTGTACGGTTAGGGGCTGTAATTCAAAAGTTTGCTGCTCACCTCGCCGCGTAAGAACTTGGAATGGGGGTAATGTCGTACAATTTCATTTTTATTTAGTGACTTTACAAGTTATCAAGTCGAGTCAACGCATAAAATTAAGATTCAAGTTAATTACAAATGTTTTCCTTCATCCAAAACGTCTTCGTCGGTCGGAGTTTGTTTCTTTTCTTGGATTATTCTTAAATATTTTGGTTAAAGAATGGTCTTTCATTTCGTTCATTTTCTCTATCTTTATGTAAGCGGCAGTAGTCCACTCTGGCCTCGTCACCGCGACATTAACCGCTCAGTAATAAACCTCCAATTCTACGTATAATGGAAACATCAAACGACTTTGCTGTCATAAACCCGATCAAACAGTAATTTACGCAACAAAACATTCGCGAACCTCTGAATGTATGTACCGCTACTTATAGTAGGAGCATCAGTTAATCAGAAATCTTTAGCATCGTAACAAGTTAATCGGGTAAACTTGATCCTAGCCAATCCAATTGGCCAGTCATTCCGAGAGTGCCGTCATACTGCGAAAGACCTCTTTCCTCAAATAACCAATGAAAACGGACGTGTTCAATTAGCCGACGTAAGCAATTCTGCCGTCTATTAGCGGAAATCAAATTACCGGAGATTTACCTACCGTCTTCATTCTCAGCCGCAATCATTGAGAAATGAACAAAAATATACACAAAACTGCTTCAGCCCTCGTGGGTTGAAGCATGTAGCTTCAATCAAGACTTTGTCTTAACAGTTCACAACCCATTTCAGTTTAGGGTTTGATATAGCCTGAGGTCATCAAATAGTGCAAAATGTACACCGAGTTAAGAAAATCACAATAAATTGCCTCTATAATGTTTTCGGATAAAATCGTCGGATGGTAGCAGCATTAGACAATTGGAGCGCAAGTTTCTGGCTGGATACGAGTATCAGGAATCGGACATAACACAATTAAGGGTATCTCCGAAATCCCGTAATTTTTCGGTCACAGATCGCACGGCCAAGTGAATTAGTTCCGGGCGAGCGAGCACATGTCATAATGAGATCAGCGCGTGCATCGGTCGGCCGGCGAGCTATCATGCCACCAATTCATTACCTGTTTATTACCTGCGATTAAATCCTGCTTCGTACTACCGCCCATTACCGGATCGGTCTATCTCGCTATATAGATACATATATCTATATATCTATTTGATTGATACGACCAGTGTGTTGATGTTCGATCTAAATATAGCTGATATTTTGTTTGCGATAGAAAATCAAATAAATTTGTAATCTTTCTCTGCTTTCATAATAGATTGGCTGCAGATTTTTTCGATACAATGTAATAATATATAATACTAACACACGTGAAGTACCTCCACACATTGATAAGATCACACATATGTGATGTGTGTCATCAATCCCACGCCTCAAACTGTAGTAAGCAGTTATCAGTTGTTCGTGAACTTACTTTAACTTCAGTTCAATAAAATACTTCGGAAACTTCACAAGTATGCTACCACGTCCTACTGAAAGATTTGTTATCTGCAGAAGTAAGAGGACTGTTAATATTTTGCAGATTAAAAGTAAAGAATGTTTCTGTACATTTATAGATGACTAGACTATACCGACACAACTACCTCGTTGGTTGACTGGTTGTGAACACCGCTCAAGATCGACCGGTCAAGGAATCGAACAGGTCCGACTCTCAGATTGAGCGAAGGCAAGCGGTGGGACATACACATAACGAGAACATAAGTAACATTTACATTTATATTGTTATCGATGCGAGGTCGCGTCTCTAGGCACTACAACGACCACACGGTATTTATAGGTTCCCATCTGTAATGTTCTCCCGTGTGTACTTTATACACCTGCTCAGGGTCTGAGCGACTGCCAGTATTACGATATATTATACCTCATACGCCTCCTCGGGCAACAGTTACTCGTGCAATAACAACTGCGAGCGTCCCCGAGCCGGCTCACTACACTATTTTTCTTTCATTCAACTTTACTCATTACACTCACATGTACACGAACATGTTTCGCACGCCGACAAAACATAATATTTATGTTTTTAAAAGCACGAGATATTTTTGTATGAAAGAGAAACTGAAGCGTTCAATCAAACGAGTATTGGAATTCAAGATAAACAGTTTTCACTAGGTTGTAATTAACAGAACCGCGACGGTTTTGTTATCAAATTATACAATTTTTATTTCAATTCCATTCTAAAAATAAAAAAGATGTTTGAAAAATTTGAATAATTGAAGCATTCGACCGTCGCACATCGTGTGGCGGGCGATGGCGGCGGTCGCTCGCCTTCGATAGCGATTCGATTTTCTATTAAATGTAATATTCTCGGTGATAATATCTACATTTAAATTCCAACCTTTAAATATTATAATATTACTGCGAAAGAGTTTGAAAAGCGATTTTATATTTCTGAGAATGATTGACGCGAAATCATTCAAATTTTGATGAAACCCTCTGAAAATTATATCTAAATAATGTATATTTCATGAAGGCAGCCCGTAGTGTTTATGTCGAAATAGTTTGAATTATTTTTTCGCACCAGTTTAAATAATGTTACGACTTAGTTTTTACTATTCCCTGGTTGAGGCAATGGCGCGATTATAGCATCTCACGCTGTGGCGAGTGACGCGCTACTGTGCCACAGTGTCACTGCGTGTACCGGCGCGGCGCGTCACGCACGACTCGGCTTAAGCCGTAACTCCGCGGCTTACGGCTGTAAGTCTCCTAGTTATTAGTGTAATTTTCCGAGATTCACCACTTTACCACTTTGTATTAGTTTATGTAACATGCGTTGTACAGTATCTGCTAGTTTATTGTGTGGCTACGAGTACCTATATTTCGTGTTTTTCTTTAATGTTTAAATTTTAATTTCTACAAATGAGTACCACACCACTTTTCTCCATGAAATCTTCATAGATACCTACGTAGGAATGCAGTGTGTACGGCTCGACAGTAACATATTCGCACGTTATTTTACGTCCGATACAATCATCGTCAACTTGTATTTCGCAAAGAAAGTAAAAAGCGTTGCGGTTGTAACGAACGCGAAACATTGTTTAATTGTGTTGACGTTGAGTGATCGCGTCATCTATCACGAGCACCAGTCAATCTGAGCAACACCCCCCCCTCCCCCCTACTCACCACCAACACACTCCACACGCCCTTCTTATGAAAATATTCGCGTAAACATATTTCTAACCTATTCAGAAAGTTCTCCCGCACCACAATTACGATTCAAACATTGCCTCAAAGCGCTGATTTTCATATAAATCAAATTATACACCAATGGCGTAATAACTTCTAACTCATTAAAGTAATCGTAGCTAAGTACAGCAGATCAGTAATCACTTACCTACGTCCGTATCCTCCAGCTACTGCTTAGCATGCAAACAAAAGCCGGGAGCACACACTCGTAGCATTAAATTTTATGACCCGCAAGATCCGTATCCGCTGGATATCCGCCATCTTCTCGTTAATGTGCACCCGCGCTAGGTACGGCGTACAGCACACAATGCAGCCAGTAATGGATTCGTGAACACCACAGTTTTCCACAACCACTCAACACCTGATGGAAATACATGGCATAGTTTAATGTGTTCAACTGAAGGGGACGAATACAATAACGTTGATGGATCGCGCATGGCCCGGGAATATTGCATGTCAGGCTGGAGGTCGCGTTCCAATATTACAATTTGCAAGTGATCGTAACGTCCGAAGCCATTCAATAAACGATAAGTTTCCGACAAACTTGTCCGAAGTTTTCCTTTGAAACAATAAATAGTTTCAAAAATCTCGTATCTAGTGACGTAAAGTTGTTAGTTCGGTTCCACCTGAAGCATACTCCACTACCAGCGCTCCAACTTATTGCACAAACTTTCATGTTTGCAGTGTTGCCAACTGGGAGGGGTCCGGTGTCGTCACTGCACCAATGTAACTTATATATTAATTTAAATTTGTCAATGGCATCTAGGCAAAATAAATATTTATATCACCGAGTTTTGTTTTGAAGTTTTGTTAAATAATTAATTAATTGTATTTAATAAGTCATTTCTGTTAGTCGCAATAACAATACAAAGATGTAACAGTGTGTGCAGTGAAGTCAGCATTGCACGTAGCTCACACATGACGATTAAAAGTGAACAACTGTCTCTGGCACCAGACTGCGCCTGTTACGACAGTAATTAATGTTGGAAATAACTCGTAAACTGCAATTACAACAAATTACAACCGACATACATTAAAATGCAAGAAATAGCAAGAACATGTTCGTCTAACAATTTAACAGACAATCAAGAGTTATAAGTAATCTTAAAAGTTTTGTCTACAGGAACCTGTTACCAGTATATGAAGACAATACTGTTACTTACAAGAGGTTATTAGAAAAGTTTCAGTCGAGTTTCATTATTTCATAGTAGTAGGAAGTAATTTTAAATTTATTTGCTGAACATGTAGATTCAACATAATCGTCCTAGAGAACCAATCCATACAACTTTAATAATGCATTGTGAACTAATCGATAATTTGTCATCCAGGAGGCGCTGCGCGGGCGCAGATGCGCTTCACTGCGCTCTGCGGCGACGCCGGCGCGCGGGCAGGAGGAGTCTGGGCGCAGCACTCCCTCTGCCGCGCACCGAGCCTCGCCCTCGCCCGCTGACACTCCAGCACCCAAGAAATCCAACTGGGAAGTGATCGAACACTTCTCATCCAGCAAGACCAAGAGAAGCCCCACTGCTGTAAGTACATACCTGAACATTGTATTATACCATACTCGTACCGAGAGAGCACTCGCGCCCAGTGCCGCAGCACCCACCGTCACGGAACACATCGCAAGACCGTGTCTCCGTAGAACTTGTTTACGCGTGTCGGCGTCCACAATAAACGTGCGGAGTTATGACGACTTGTGTCATGACAATATCCGCGCGACGTATCGTAAGTGACTTCAAAGAATTATAATTATGAAAGTTTCGGCGCTATAATACAACAACATTAAAGCTGAAACAGTCGGCTGCGTGGGAGTCGCTGTTGATGTAATAAATGTACGTAATGTTTGAAGTAATTGCGCCTTGTTGTGTTTCGTGTCCTGGGGCGGTCCACTGATTTCACTTCTAAAGCAAAGAAGACTCAGCGGAATTACATAACAATGGACTTGGGTTGTTGAAACAATTACAACAAACGTTTCGGTGAAACGAATCCAATATTTTTATTGTATGTATCTTTGAAAATATTTCATTAAATATAACAGAGCTCGGAATCACGTCAGGAAATCGGCCTCTTTATCCTCGCTTAATTGAAAAGCGTCCGTTTGGGAGCGACGGCGGCGGGACGTGTCGATCGTTCACAAATTTCGTAGATTTGGTCCGTTTTCCGGATCCCGATGCGTTACTGCTCGGGATGTACGTAAAAACTTGGAAATGCGTTCAATTGGACCTCAGAGCTGACAGCTTTTACCATTATTGTTCTCCTTATAGTCGTAAAAGCGAATTGTAAGTGTTTTCCTGCACTTACTCCCCGAGTCGGAAGGAAGTCTTTATAGAGGACTGCACGCATCCGTAGATTGCAATATTTATATGATACAGTGGCTCTCTGATAGCGGCTGACGGATTGCTAATTACGTTAAGTGGGGCTTTAGAAAATTGTATCGGCTTGTTGGAAAGCCCGTTGTTGTCGATATGAGATTGGTTTTCTTCATCGATTGGCCCGTTCTTGTACAATTGTGACGTAGTTCCAATACTTGCGCATAATGTATTAACATGACCTTTTTACGTAGCATTGTTGATAAGATTAATATTCTTGGACTTGATCCCTTTTCGGGACGGACAGACACAATCAAAGGGAATCGAAAAAGATTATTATAATAATATTCGAAGCAAGATTGAAATTGTACGTAAAAGTAACATTCAGCAAGGCATCCAATTTCTCGCAGAGAGTGAAGGTAAGTTTTTCTGACATATCTCGAGACCTAAGCAAACAGTAACAATATTATCCTCAGTCCGCATATGGAAACATGCGAGATGGAAACTCTTCGCTATTCTTTTCTTGTAAAAACAATGAGCAAAGATGTCCACCGGCACCGTCTTGCACAGCGGGCCGTGCGGACAGCTGCGGGCCAATGTTTTTACATCTTTGTCGGATTATTCAGTGAAAGCCTTTGACATAAATAGCGTTCGTAACGTCGTCGTCGACTTTTTCTACGTGGGTACTGGGTAGGTATTTGCGATAAGTGGTTTCTCTATAAACGCGACTGTTACACGCGGCTGTCTGTGGCCGCGTTACTTTATACTTAACGAGTTATTGGTCCATTTCGTTCAGTAATTCTGTTTGTACGTCGGCAGCGTGACACATCATTGTAAGCTTGTTATCATTACAACCGTGTAAATCAGCTTCGTTTATTGTTACCGTAGGTATTGTTAATACGAATAGGGCATGTGGCTGATAGTGAGGGTACATGGCGGTGCATGCGTATCATCACATCGCGAGCTATATATCAGATACGGGCCGACGTGATCCGACCTAAGTAACACAAAATGTAGGAAAAGATAAAATGCACTAAAAGTGCTTTACTTTGTGTTGTATTCATTAGCACTACACCAGCACACGGCTCGGTCCCGAGTGTCTGCTGTCCATACTTCGTTCAATGGAAGTCAAGTACATCATCGACTGCTCGCTTCAGATATAGGTACCTACATACACCGTTTAGTATTTCTCGAAGTCTTTAAAAATATTAGTAAACGGATATTGCGTTGACAATGTCCAGTGTCGCATCGCACCCCTGCACTGAGCTAATGTCTGTCGGTCTTCGATAAAGCTCCAGGGGCTACCTCGAGAGCTTATTAAAAGAAAGCCGGTGACACAGTGAGCACAGATTTAGTTCGCATTGTGTCTGTATTGACGTGGATATCGTCGTCACGTTATCTCTGACGTGACGTCACGTCGCCTGCTGACAAGGGTACTCGATGGTTGCTCCCTAAGTGGGGTGATGTGTTCATGTTGTGTTTAGTGAGGTGCCAACAATGTCACATTTGTGTCGTCATGTTGCCACTCTGCTCCGCGACGTGATACACGATTTATTGAATTACGTTATGTGCGCACGTAGCACAGTGTTTGTTGGGATCATTATATCTGAAACAACAAGTAGGATCGTAGCTGTAACTAGTTCTCTGTAATTCTTTCACGTCAGTTTTCAACAACTGTTTATAAAACTAGTTAAATTACTATTGTAATAAAATTAGGGTGGGTTTTAGGCTAAGAACGTGGGTATAGAATTATTTATGTTACTACTTATAGGAGTTATAGGATCACTTTGTCTCGTTCTAATTTGTGGTTAGTTACCTCGCATCACTGTTTTGGTCCTTAGTCACACAAAGTTAGTCTTGTAGATCGCTATAACACTAACTTTGTCTGGCTCTACATCGGTAGAGCTGTTGCACCACTGAGCCACGAACGCGCGACACGTGTGCTGCAGCTCTTACCCTCGTCGGAATATTTGATGTGCCTCGACGGCCTCGGACCCATACTCCTGCTTATCTTTGTAATGTACCACGTGATTTATTACGATACCTACCGTAGCTCTGAACAATAATATACGAGCCCTTTGTTGTTCTGATCTTATTCAAGCGTGGCAATATTTGGTCGGGACCAATTTATTACGTTAAAAGACGACGTATGAAATATATTTCTCAATCAAATAATGTTTCTATTTCGACAGCCGATTTCCAGAAAATTCTTGAATTACTGACAGCGCAGAGGTACGAACAATATCAGATCAATAGTTCTACAGATCTCTAACAACACCTGGCGATGACGTAGTCAGTAGTGACCGTCAGACCAGTGAGTGAGGCTGCTTACGAGTTGTTCCATTCCCGGGGACAAAGCGCGCCGCCCGTCCTGCCGTGCTCGTCACTGTATGCCTCTGCTCAACTAAGTACTATTACTGCAGAAAGTCTGATTGTAATCAGTATCCGTCTAAAAGTAGATCACTCGATTAAAAAGTCTTAATGACGACTTATTAACAATGTGTTTTTGGACCGTTCGTCCGACCGTCCGTCGTCCGAACGGATAACAAGAGATTAAAATGATGTCAATCTTATAGAAGCTCCTAGTTTGCTTGCAACTACGCATTAAGTCAGTGGTCCTTCGGTGATGGCCTACCCCTCGGCACGTGTCAGCGTACCGCTCATTAGAAGTGGTATGTAAAGGCACACGTAACTCTTGCAAACAATCCAACATGGCGGCCGCACAGCACCGCCGGGGGACCGGGGCCTGCCGTGGTCAATACACCAACTAAACCAAAGACATTGTTTCCAGAACATGCCACTGTGTACACAGCTATTTTGGTACCTATTACAATGTGTTTAGGGTGCCATAACTACAAACGGAGACTGCTATGAATATTTGAATGAAGCAGAACCCTCGTCGTGTTGACTTTGCCTTATAAAGTCGACTAGTAAATATTGCCTTCATATTATTAACTAGTTTAGTAATCCAATAACGTTGATTGATGTAACACGTCGCTTTATATTATACTGGGCCAACATCAAGGGTTGTTTCACACTTATTGTTGGCAAATAATCTCATAAAACTGCGGGTCGGGAGTTCGGGACCTCTAAAGTCTCGGAAAATAAATAGGAAACATTATATCGCGCTCACAGTACCCCGGATTCGATATGTTTATAGGTCGGGACAAATCTCCCCGGAGTCTAAAGATGATCATTGATCACTCTCGATAAAGCTCTTGGAATTTGAAGAATAACTGACGAATCACCCACGCAGGACAGAAATGATCAAACTTGACGGCTCCTTCCGATACCTAACAATACATCTTTATCTAAGTTATTGAAGCGAAACGAAGGGGTCTCAAATTATTCTCAACTCAGTTTGGGATTCATTATAAAAGCTGTAAATTAGTATTAATTTGTTTCATGATAATTATTTCGAGAGGTAGCGCGTGTGTACATTGCGGTCTCGTCAAACATAAGTATATATGTCTTGTAATGCCTTATGGCCGAGTGCTCCCTCGGGCGACTTAATCAAAGAGAACGCTTAATAAAATATTATTGCGTTTCCGACTGGCTATTAATTACGAAGCCAATGGTCATTCAGTCATTTGCATTAACATCGCAATTCCCTTACAAATCAGTTCCATTCAGATTCATTTTGAATTTGTACGCAGTAATCCCACGGCTATGTATGTATTGCAGCTTCAGTTCCTGTATCGCGGGTTATTTATTTTCAAGTTGTATTTTTATTCGTGGCTATTGGTACGAACTGAATTGTTCATAATTATGTTGGCTAATGAGCAAAAACTGAATTTAATAAAGTTTGTAGTATTTCATGTTTCATTCGTGCAAACTAGAGCGTGTTCCTACTCTAGACATACGTACAGGTATGAAAATGGTCGCTGAGCAATAACTGCAGCCGTTTCATTCGGTGAGCAGGTCGACGTGAGACAAGTGACAATCGACGAACTCGGACAATAGCTTTTGTAACCATTATTTGCATGAACTTAATTTGCAGCACAAACAACATCAATGAACAATTTTCCTCACAAACAGCCGCACATTACGAGTTCAGCAGAAACAAATGAAATAATTGTGACGGAGGTGGCGCCCGCACCGCACTAGTTGGTGCCCGCGACTCTGCTCACTTACAAACTTCGCCTTTGTTTGACCTGCTCGGAATTGATTCCAAGTAGTTTTCTCTCAGCGCCGCCGCCGCTCTACAAAGTCAAACAGTT